CACACACACACACACACACACACACACACACACAGGGAAAGGACGGCTGAGCTCTGCACTTTCCTCTGCTCTGTGTGTCCAAGAGAGCCACAAAGAGGAGACTGGATACGTCCTGCAGAGACCCAGGAGGTCTGTCATATGCAGCCGCACTACAATGACCACTGCCTGGGGTTGGGGAGGCAGGCTTTGATACTACATGGGTCACACAGAGAGATAGAGCCTTTTAAACCTGCTGAAGGTCCCTGCTGCCACTCCCCCTGTGAAGTTCTCACCCTCCTCCTGCTCCCGAAGAGAAATCCCGCCAGGGCAAAGTTTCAGTTTTACAGAATCTGCAATCTGAGGGCAGGATTTAAAAGTTTACGAGGATTAACATGTCTAGAAAACCCGCTCTTCCAAATAACTCTCTAGAAACCCAGAGTTTAAAATGAGGAAGTCCTCCTTTCTCACTCCGAGGTTCCCTGTAGCTAGAATTACTGCCAAACCCAAAGAAACAAAACCGGCCTGAATAGCATCCTTTTCTCCCTCTGACACTTTAAGAGGCGGCCCAGCCCCGAGATAACTGCCTTTTTATGAGTCTTCCTCCATTGTGTGGCAATGGGGGTCATGAGTCCAGTGGAGTGCTTTATTGTTCTGCGGCTGTGTTTACAAGGCACGGTGGAGTGTTGTGGGGTTGCGAGTATGTTGCACGAGACAATATGAAGTCTGTAGGCTGTACAAAATGGTGGACAGGTAGTTTAGAGGATGAAATATGGCATTGTGGCCCTGCTCCAGGCATCGTGGTGTCTGCATTGGAGGTGTCTGAAGTCAAATCATAGTTTAACATTAGGGAATATGCTTTTTTAGGCTTATTTGTCATCTCCCTGAGAGTTAGAGGTAAAGCTTTATCTTATTTTGAGCATCAATGAGTTGATGTTTAGTTGATAAGGATATTGAGAGAAAACTAATTGGCAATTGTGGTTAATTGTTTTTAGGACCCTTTCAGCAAAAAAGTATAAAAATGTGTGGTTTTAGCTTCTCATTTGTGAAAAACCTCTGGTTCCTTTTCTCTGCTGTGAAAAAAATATCAGTGCCTTTGGGTTTGGGGCAAAACAAAACAGTTGAAGATGCACCCTGGAGACATATTTTTTTCCTTATTGATTAACCAAATAAAATCATTGAAAATAAAAGCAGAATTTGTTTAAATCCAGTGAAATACTGCATGGTGAATTTTTTAATCTTTGGACACAGTCAGGCTAATTCCCACCAGTCTCCTTATCTAACTCTAGAAAGCAAATACATACATTTCTCAAAATGTGTCCCACACATAGCACAAGAATCTATACAAACCTCCAATCACACAAATGATTTTCGCTATCAAAATTATTTGCTTTCCCTGACACCTGAAGCAAATATCTGCAAACACATCCTGTTCCAGTTTCCAGCAGTGACAAGAAATCAATGCGCGCCCCCTCCCTGGTCCCATCTTTTTTTTTTTTCTCAGAACGATGTATAGCAGTGGTTCTTGTCATTGTCTGACTGACCTCAATGTGGCGCTCACGCCGTCACGCCCGGGTCAGGGACGCAGGGCTCGGGGAAGATGTGAGATCTGATTGCAAACAGAGTCTGTCTCTGCGCTGTCACTGAGGGAGGGGCTCGCTCAGTGACTGTGTGGGGCTGAGACCACAGGATAAGAATGTGTTTGACATTGCTTGTAATTGTGTAATGTTTACTCTGTTGGTATCAGAGGGGGCCTGCATCGGCAAACAGCCATTTGATTGTCGGCTGTTTGGGAGGGTGAGCTGCTTCTTCTTCAGGGGCCTCTGGAGAACAACAAGTAGTCTAGACAGGAGATTAAGTAATGGCACTAAAGGACCATTTCACTCAATTTCACTGTGGCGTCACTAATACAAAGAAAATACAGTGAAACTCCCTCCTGTGAAGTACATTTACTCAGATACTTTTATCTTTTTTCTACCGTGTGAGGTGCAAATATTGTATTTTGTAGTTACTTAAATTTATAAACAATATTACATAAAAAACAAAATACATTGATTTTATAAAATACACTTAGATATTTTTATTTTGGTTGAGAAAAGTGCAATTTTCAAATATTTCACAAGATACAATTTAAGATTAGACAAACAAAAATAAATTTGTGAAGCAGAACTTCTCCCGTCTCACAAACCCTCAGATTTACATGGTGACCATTTTGGGGGACGGGGTCCAACCTCCAGCCTGTGACCCACTGGTCTACATCATATATAAAGTACTTAAAACTACCTCCACCTCAAGTAGCTACAGACACTGATGCAACAATTATTACGATGTAATTTAGTTATATCAGTCTGCTTTTATTTTCTGATAATACAGGGATGTGGATGCAGAACTTTTACTCTAACTGAATTTTTTTGGGACTTCTGCTTAAGTAGTGATTTGAGTACTTCTTCCATCACTGGTGAAACTTCACATTGACGTAGTTTTGAACACCATCAGTAGTGTTTGTGTGCTGATCACAGAGTGTAATGGGAGCCCTGCTGTTGTAAGTGCGTGTGCGTAGTGAACGGCCTTGGCTGAGCTACGCAGATAGCGGCACTGGACGGGTCAGTGTGTTTGTTTGCTCTGCCCTCTCCTGTCTGAGTCAAAGAGCAGGTGAGTGGAGTTGGTTGGCGCGACGGAGGCACAGCTCAGCTCAGAACGAGGCCAGTGCCGCTATCTCTCTGTCCCATATAACTGTTTGTAATGGAGGCACACGGCAGCCAAGACAAGTGAAACCAACCTTCTCTTTCCCTGTGTCTCTCTCTCAGTGCGTTACAGCCAAGGCCCCGGTGAGGTCACCTCCTCCACGACCATCAGTCACCACAGTAGCAACGGCATGGCCACCAGCCAGTCGGTGCTCCAACAGGTGTCTCCGGGAGGATTGGACCACAGCCACAGTCTGCTGTCACCTGACGCCAAGATGGTGAGTGAACACACCTGGGCCTCCATGGCCTCAGATTAGATAAGAGCAGGACTGTGCTTAGTGTAAACGCACAAAGCAGGTTCCTGAACCTCCTCTCCCATGGACCAACTGGCAAGAGCCAACAATTAGCACATTGTGCTGCTGTGTTTGGAAGGTGGAGCCGGGGTGGCAGGCCATGGCTGGACCTAGCCTTCACCAGAGTGCACCAGTGTCGCTCAGGCAATAAACCTGACAAAGAAACATTCTGTTCTCATTGATTAAATGCCTCGCAAAGAGGAGCCGCAGGTGGAGCACCGCTTGTTCTGCCAGAGAAATGACGCCAACATTTGATCATGCTCGATGTTTCTTTTTTTTCTACTCCATAGTTTCACCCCTCTGCCCTAGTCCAATATTTGATCAGTGACGAGGAAACCTGTGCAAGGACCCACAGCGTTTGGGTGGTGGTGCAACAGTACATGATGTCTTTTCTGTCAAAATACAAGATTCAAATTGCTCAGGGTCCCAAAAAATACACATTATGCAAATCAGCAGTTAAATGCTGTGTGCTAACTTCCCCATCACCTCGCAACACTTCTGCCTTTTGGAACAGCTTCATGGGAAATGACCACAGCAGTAGTGTGCAGCGGGTCAGAGCTGACAGTTTACTATCTTCTGGAAATAGTCAAATAGACGCAGCCCCACCGAGTGGGAGGATCTGCATCGAGATTGACTACACCGGATGTCTTGCTTTGGATATATATCCCTGTGTTTTTTGCACGTGTTTGCATAAACCAACAGGTACGAATAATGTCCGGCTTCTCGACTGACATTTTTAGTATGATTCTCTTTTCTTTACCTTTTGTTCCTTATCAGTGTTTGCCTGTGTGCTGTGTGAGAGTGGAGTTACTCAAGTGTAGTGTCACACAAAAGAATCTGAACCGTGCCATCGCTTGTTTTTCTCCCAAGCAGACACCAATCTGTTTCTTTCTTTGAAAATGAATTCACGTGTTGTTAGTGAGTGAGTGTTGTGTAATGCTGTGGCGTGAATTATTTCCTCCATCTTTCCACAGATTTCTGGTTCAGGTGGAGGACTTCCTCCAGTCAGCACACTGACAAACATCCACAGCTCCCATCACAGCCATCAGCAGACACAGAACCTCATCATGCCTCTATCTGGAGTCATGGCCATCGCTCAGAGTAAGTCGTCCTTCCTCCAATATGACACACAGACAAGAAGCAAAACTCACTGTGCTTATAATTACAGTGACATGGGTTAACTGACATTTTGCTGCGTCTGATCAGGTTTAAACACGTCGCAGTCTCAGTCGGTGCCGGTGATCAACAGTGTGGCGGGCAGCCTTGCAGCGCTGCAGCCGGTGCAGTTCTCCCAGCAGCTTCACAGCCCCCACCAGCAGAGCCTGATGCAGCATTCACCCAGCCACATGAGCCAGCAGCCATTCATGGCTGTCACACACTCACACAGTCAGTATCACTCCTCTACCGTCCTCTGCTTCATGCTCTACTCAGCTTTGTAAATTAGTTTTGTCGTGATTCTCAACTTTTTTGGCTTGTGTAAAACAAAGAAGGGTCCATAGGGCTGCGATTAACAATTGTTTCCCTTTTTGATCAATCTGCTGATTACTTTTTTGATCAACACTTTTGACTATAAAATGACAGTACATAGTGGAGGTTGCCTGTGATAGTTGCAGCTCTAAATGTCTAATTGGAAACTCCTGCCCCAGTGTTAATGTCTATGAAGTCAGGGTTAGTGTAAGCAGCTCTAGAGGCCTCAAAAACTGAGAACTGTGTGTAATTTTTAAGAAAAAATTATAATTTGGTGTGGATTGATGCATTTCTTCTCTTTTTTCATCAATACCAATGAATTATTCCCAAAAATCCTGCAATCCTAGACCAGGTTACGTGGTAATCTGTTTTATAGTTTTAACCCAATCCTGCTGATGAACAAACACACAGGGGCAAAAACATAAAGTCATAAACTTGTCGAGGTAGAAATGCAGTTTAAATGAACACAGCTGTTGTGTTATATTAGGTTTGATTTTCTCTCCAAGTTTCAATGTTGGTGTCTTGCATGGACACTTCTCTCCTCATGTGAAGAGAGGAGTCGAACCAAAGATAATTTTCCAAAACTGTTTCTTTGGCATCATTAGAGGAGTTGTGTAACTGATATTTTGTTCTCTTTTGCAGTGTACTCTCACAAGCAGGAGCCGCCACAATATTCCCACCCGTCACGTTTCCCCTCCGCCATGGTGGTCACAGACGCCAACAGCATCAGCACCCTCAGCTCCATGTCCTCCAGCAAGACGGTAAGTCCTTTCATCACACCGTTAGATGCACATTCTCACCTCTGTATGATTGTCACCGCAGAATTTATTCCAAGTAATCATTATGGGGGTACCTGCATGCAAATCAGCAGTAAATGTGTGATGTCATTGCAGTTCTTTTACATTTTGCCACTGATTGTACTGTCTTGTTAAAAAGGCGACACTTAAATCTGCTCACTCATTTCCTACTGATATACAAAAATCACCCTCGCTCTGGAACAGACACAATCGAACCACACATACACACAAACACACACGTTAGATCAGACACGTAGACCATGCCACGGGAGGAAGAGTGTGTGTTTTATGACTGTGTGCTGACTTGTTTAATCCCTGTCACATTAGGACGCTCCTGTAAACAAGATGGTGCAACTCGGGGGTCTCTCCTGGGTAAATACATTTAATTTGTTCAGTCACACAGATGAATAAAAACACCGAATATCACACACAAATCAAATATATCAAGTAGCACAAGTGTTTCTTTTAAAATGTTGTTTTGGGGGCCGCTGCTGATGTTCACATTCTTTCATTTGACCTCAAACTAACAGACGAGACGGATACGTGGAAAGTATATTTCCTCTTACACACACATCCAATCAATCACCTGTCCCCTCAGCCTGAACGCCTCCTGATTAACACTCCCTCCTTTCACTTTCCTCTGCTCAGAGTTATCTCCGTGATCAGGAAATGAGCCTTGCTGTTAATCAAAGTTCTCGAGCCTCTTGTGCCGCTTTTTTCCTCCCTGCTACAGTGAGGCTACAGATGGGGATGGGGATGGTCTGGGTAGGGGTGGATGTTTTCTCTCTTCTTTCTTTCCTTCTTTTTCCTTTTTTTTTGGGTAATTACACCTCTTCCTCTTTCCTACCTCTCCTCTGCGCTTGGTGACCACTGTAGCCTGAAATGTTGACCACAGTGCTTTCACACGCTCAATTTCCCACGCTGAGGCCGAGCGCTCATACCTGCCGAGCTTTTACTGACAGTCTGATGGGTTGATGGGATGATTCAGGGCCCGGTGTATCCTCTGTGTAGTAAAGCCTGTAGCACAAATTTCCAAGAGGCAGTGAAAGACACAGGGTGTAACCAAGTCTCCTGAGACAATCAGCTGTTCACTTTAGCTAAACAATAAAGATATATAAAAAGCTGTAACCAGTTTAGGAAGAGGCACTCAGCTTCTTTAATCGTCTGATGGGATGGCTCTATTAAAACAATTATTTTATCGTTGTTATTTAATCAAAGCATTTAAATTCACATTCTTCTTGATTTTGAGAAACCTCTTCAATTATTTTTTGAACTTTATTGAAAAACGTTTTTATCACTTCATATTTAGAAAATATGCTCCGTAGCAGAATAATGATAGCACTAAGAAAAAAAGAAAAACCTCATATACGGTAACATACACAATAATTCTTCAAAACTAAAACTGTATAGATGTAGAGGTTTCTGAGATTACATGGTCTGTAAATCAAACTATTTTAATTGTTTCATATCATCCCAGCTGACAAAATTGAAAAATCACTTAATCAGAATCAAAATAGTTGCAGAATAATTATTTGTTTATAGTATAAAATTAACAAGGCATAAAAAAGCTTGAAATGGAAATACTATAGTAATAGTACTTAGTGATTTTATGGCACTGGTCACATCATCACCCTGTGGTATTTCACAAACCCATTTATTTAGAGAGTAATTAGTTCAGGTATTTTCTTATCAGGACTTTATTTGGACGGCTCAGCCCTCTCCTCGTGACACGACCAGCATCCACCGGCTTTATAACACTCATTGTTTGCCGAGAACCCTTCGTTGTACCTGAGTCTATTTAGAACTCACCTCTTCTCAGAGCCCGGCATCTAATGACTCAGGTCTTACCTGCAGGTCAGCTTTATCAGGTGAAGCTGTTTGCTGGCCGCAGGGTCACGCCAGGGTCACTTGCTTCCACCCATGGAGACATAAGGAAAAAAGTAAATTCCACAAACAATCTAAAAAAAGAGAGAGGGAGCGTTTCAATGGAAACCAGGCTTTTCAGAGTCAGGACAAGAGGGATGAGGAATGTATTTGGTCAGGTGTGGCACACGAAGGTGTCGGGGTGATGTATTTACCAGTGCTAGAAAGTATTCAAATAATTGATTAAGAAGAAGTCAGAAACGGCTCATACTACACAATGACAATACTGCATTACAAGTGAAATGTAAAATCCTGCATTCATGATTTTACTAAAACTCGATACTTTGTTACTTCCCCACCTCATCCATGCTCCTCTATCCCAACCACATTTTTCCTACTGATGACGTAACTCTAACATAACATGTCACAGACACATATACATACTTACATGTAATATACTCAATATGTTTTGTAAAACATTTGGGCAGTATAGAGTTTTTAGCAAACAATAATCAAACAGTAGTTAATTGGAACTTTGACAGGGGGCTATTTTCTGATGCAGATTAATACATACATATATATCTGCTCTGATATGTGACTGACTTAAAATGAACTACAGCTCCCATGTTTATTCTGATGAAGGCACATGTCATCCAGTGCAACCCCGTGGTTAATTTTGGTATCTTTAATAGTTTTTGGACAACACAGGAGGTCTATGGCACAGGGCACAGGAGAATAAGCTGCATACATCAGACACAGATAATTACTTTTAGTGAAATTGATTCATTGATGGGTTTTTTGTGATTCATTGACAATCAGAAAGTTTGTTCGATCACGCCCATGAAATGATGCAGGCTACATTATGTACAGTATACCTGTGTTACTGGACAGATTGTATTTATTGTTTTATGTAACACAGACCTACTTTCTCTGACATTTCTCTCCCTCTCCTCCTCCCGTCCAGTGTCCTCTTCAAGCTTGGTGAGAGCATCCTCGACTTCCTCGGTGCCCGGCAACCGGAGCGCATTTTTCCACCCTCTCACTGCGGTAACCATGACGACTCTTAATAACCGGCAACGGCGCGCTTCGTGATGAGTCAGTCGACAAACAAGAGGAGTGACGGTGACGGCGGGCCAGGCGGTGAAAATGAAAAATGGGGACAGAGAAGGAAAACAAACAACAACCCCCCCCAAAAAAACACAACCCCCCCACACTGACTAACCTCACTGCACCTGAAAGTGAAGAGACAGGACTCCCCCCCCCCTTCACTGTCGCACACACATGATCAACAAGGATGTCTGATTTTAACACAATCTTTGAAAAACAGTATTGAATTTTTCAGGCCCCTCTTCTTTACTTTTAATTTTTAAATGTACAGTCACTACAAAGGAACAAAAAAAAAACAAGCACCAAAAAACTGCTCATGAACTGTGTGCACCTGACTGAAGGCTCCGGGACAACGTATATTAAGACTTTGATTTAAGGTGGAAACATGAAGATACACTGAGACAGTGATCGGCCTCTGTGAAGGTTTAAGGAGCCAGTGACTCACTCTCTCACACACACACACACACACACACACACACACAAGTGCCTGGATGTGTTTGCGCGTGAGCAGAGCAGAGCTGTGTGACAATCACAATAACCTGTACCGATGTTGTGCATGCATTTTGACATTTATTCTGGGCTTTAAAGGAGTCTTCCATGTTATTCTTTCACATTCAGTTCACTGTGCTAGCCTTTAGCGCAGGCCATGAATGCCGGGACTCATCGCTTCAAGTTGTTCGATGTGTTCACTGTGATTGAAAAAGACTTTCTGACAATCTTGACAGGACTATGCAATGTGTGTATAGGCATCTGCAATGCTTTGTATAGCTGGATTCTGCACACGGCTCCACACACTTGAAATGAATATGCACTATCAGTTAAGTCACCAACAATCATATTGGAGTGGCTGTTGATAAAGCTGCCTGTGACATAACACAAAAGCAGATGTAAACATGTGTGGCAAATATGCACAGTGTAGGCGCAACTTCTATTTGTCACCATGTCTCAAACGCTCACCTGCCATATCTGTAAAAACCTGGTCTTGCCTTGTGGGGGAGGACTGACTCACACACTTTAAATGTGGCCCTTCCCCTCCATGGAAACCTCTGGCTTTTTGTTTGCACACAGGTTCAGGTGAATTTCAGGAATGGGACTCACCCTCCTCCTCCTCTTCCTCCTTCTCCTACTCCTACTTCCTGCCAGAATGTGAAGAAATAGGACAAATATTGTTAATAATCTGAAATCACGGAGCAGGACCCCCCCCCCCCATTCAAAAACTAAACAGTCATCTCAGTCTGGTAATTTGTGAAGGAGACATGAAAGAGGATAATGTTTTGACAGCAGCTGCTCTAATCTAACAGGAATCCACCAAGAATGAGAAATGTTGGGGAGAGGAGCAGCTGCTGTGGGTTCAAACACCCACGCTGACAGTATTAAGGTGTGTTCATATAGAAAGCGAAGCAAACTCTTGCCTTGTGTCTTAACATGCAAATTTATCTTCCTTCAAACAGCGTTGAGGGATTGAGAAATTGGATTTTGGATTTTTAATAGTTTGGCAAACTCTTTCTGTTTTACTAATCATGTCCAGTTGTGTCAGTCCATTGACTTTGCAACGGACAGTTTGCTTTGAGGTCTGTCAGAACACACTGTCAGACTCTGGTGGGAATGTTTGAAATAAGGAAAAATATTAGTTTTTACTAAAGCTGTTCATGTTATTATGAGAAAAAAACAGCAATTCCAACTATCAAACTCTGCATATCATGGTAAGTGTGGCAGATCCAGTCTCCTATTCAATATTAGGTCATTACATTGTTATTATTATTATCTTGGTTGTGACTGTTATGGGCACATCTATTGCCATCTGATCAGAGGGCACTCATACTTGTGTGGCAGGACATGATTTTATTCCTCCTAATGTATTATTTTGTATAAAATTG